TTTATACAATATATATTTTTCCACATATTTGTTAAAACTGTCATTATGTTGTGACTATAAACTATGAAAAATTTATTTCCTCTGCTTTCTCCCAGTGCTCTCTACAAACAACCAATCAGACAGGAGAGTTTTAGTGCTGTCAATCACAATCTCATGTGGCTGCTCATCCTTCCACCCCCTCGCTCTGTGCTATGCTGCAGCTAGCATAGCCTGTTGTAAATGCTCGGTCTAGTTAGCATAGCTACCAATGAGCGCAGATAAACTATTTTCCTGAAATTACATGTTATTTCTCCACCATTAACACAGTTAGCAGTCAGTGAATGAAGTTCATTGACAGTGCTAAGAGCCTCCTACTGGTTGTGATTGGTTGTTTTAGGTCAGAACAGTGCATTACTTTAGCTAGCAATAGTAGTTCAGGAAGGAGGTGGAGAAGATTGATTGTTTTCACAGATTATCTGTCTCATAACAAACTGTCACGACATGGTGCCAGCTTTAACAAACATGGAGAAAACTTTTTTTTTTTAATTAAAGTTACATACTGCAGCTTGCATAAAATGCAACTACATAGCATTTTTTGAGAAGTCTGGATTGTTTTATGTGTATTTTGCATGTTGCTTTTGACTGTTGCTGATGGGGAGAGACATTTCAGTAATCTAAAACTAAGAAAAAAATTAAGCAACCTACTTGCATACTGTATGTCAACTCTTGCATGTAAAATTCATGAGCAGTAAATATTGTGCTAGTATCAGTATTGGACCAAAGAAAGCAAGGCAGTTGCAAGCCTTTACAATTGTGATGCTTTTTATGGGTCACATTATAGAATCAAGAAATTGTAACAGCAGCTGTGCAGGGGGCAGGAGGGCCCACTCTAATTTTTTCTCATGGGGCCCAAGATTCCTAGCGGCGCCCCTGTCAGTTGGACACCATTTCTACATACAAGGGTTACGAATAGACTACTCATTTTGTTATTTTTCTTCCAAGCTGGGTAGTAGTGGTTACATTTACTTGAGTAACTTCTTGGGTGGACACTACACTTTTTACTTTTACTAGTACTAGTAATAATAGTAATACTATGAACTATTGTGACTTATATTTGAGTAGATTGATTTTGCATAAAGAAATAGACTTAAGTTATTGGAAACATTAGATTCTTAGACTTCTGCAACATATGAGCAAATGTTTATGCAAATCAGAGAATATTTGCTCAGCATGCTAGTATTTGCATCATTAGTTATTTGTATTTGTAAACAAAATGGGTATTTTGTTTGAAAGGTATAAGCTTGTTTATGTATTTATATAAAATAAAATGACCCTTTACTGTTCCACCTTAAAATCCTCCAAATTCCTCTGCCAAGTCTGATTGTTACTGTTTTTGCAGAGTTCACCAGAATGGAGGATAGGATCTCCCGTGCTACATTCAATGTTGAAAAGGAGTCGTTCATAACGTACTTCCAGAGATTCTTGGTCAGGTTGAAAGAAAGGTGAGCTTTCTGTCTGATTTTGTTTAAGGTGAAGAAAATTCTACAAGTTTTTAATTTACATCTTGTTTAGTTGGACGTGCACACATGCACATGACTCCTCTTCACATCCTCTCATTTATAATAAACTTCAAAACCAGCCAGTTTGGTTGTGTGTTAAAGGGACATTGGGTCATATTTTGGGGGGGGGGGATTTGTATTGATGATATTTGGATGATTGAGACTGGAAAAAACATCTGTGGCATTAATATAATAATCAGCTGACAGCAGGTTGGAAAATTGCCGTTGCTCCTTTAACTGCACAACCATCAAAATTCTAATCAGTCTTAGACAATAAATAATGGTGAAAAATAATTTTATGCCACTTGTAAAAATAAATGACTCAGTTTCTTCAAAATATGCTTGTGCTCACTTTTATTGTTTTTCCTACTTGTAGACCATCGATGTTGTTGCCATGAGGCCTGCTATCCTACAATGTTTCTCAGTTTTCCTCAAGGACGATGACAAAGTTCTGCAATGTCTCTGGTATGTATTGCTATTCCGTTTGTCAGAAGTTGTAAAAAAAAAATCAGAACTTTCATCTCATTCCTTTTTTTTTATTTGTACTTTTCTTATGATTCACAGGATTCAGATGCCATGGCAGACTTCATCCTGGTTTCTGTGGGGTTATTGACTGTTATGTTATGCTAAGTATATCATTTGGTTAAAATAAAATGTTGAATCTTGTGAACTTAAAATCTTTTGTTGTGGTTTCTTAATTTATTTAGGGCAATCGGTTTCCTAGATTCTGCTAAGTAAACTGTACTGTTCATGTAAGTTGGACTAACTTGATGTAGTTGAGTTAAGAAGAGGATAATTTACTTACTATTTCTAAGTTGAAACAACTTCACTAAACTAAGTTAAATTAACTTGACACAATTTAGTTCATACAACAAGGTCTTAAGTACACTGAACAAGTATATGTTAAGTAAACAAAACGTAAGAATAAGTTAAGCTTACTTACATTTTTCAAGGCAATCGGTTTAAGTAAAGTCAACTTGTCAAAGTTTAGAATGTACAAAAGTGTAGTTTTCAACAGAGTACCTAAAAATTGTACTCGAGTAAGACTAGCTTTACTTCAACACATTTTTACTCAAAAGTAAAATGTAGCTGTTCAAGAAATTACTCAAGTAAAACATCTGATTTTGTGTTTGTATATTTATATAAATGTGTATATTACTAAACAAAAAAATGAGTGCCTGTGTCCGTCGTAAAATACTCATCAAATCAGAATATTCTATTCCTATTTTATTATGTTTTCCCCACTAAGTATATTTAAATATGCTGAAGTATCAATCCAATTCAAAAATACTTAAAAAAAAATAAATGTTCTTATACATGTAGCTATGATAGCTGTTTGAATAAGGTTTCCAGCCAAAAAGTTTAGTATTTAGCGAGTTTAGTTAAATGCGCTGATACTTCATTGTTCAAATTAATTACAAGTAGAAAAAAAATGTGTAGATGACAGCAGCAGTAAACTGAGATACCTGTTTCATTGACATCAAAGTTGATCTGACCCTTTGCATCGTCAGCAGTGGATATTAACAAACCGCTGGGAGCATTAACAGTGACTGATAGGTCCCTAACAAGGCCGACTCCTGTGATCCACTGGACCTTTGACAAGGAAGAAAATGGAAGAAAACTCATTATTTTAGGAATGATGTCAACATGGAACATTCTGACATATCTGTCCCACAGGGACAGACTGTTGAATTTGTTCCAAATTTTGGATGTCTTTGTAGTGGGGAAATGTAAAAGTTAGTGAAGTACAAAAAGATGAAGGAATCTTGGTAACACTTTATTTGAAGGGGGTTGAATAAGACTGACATGACACTGTCATAAACACCTGTCATGAGCATGAATAAGCCTTCATGAATATTTATGACTGTTGTCATAAAGAGTCATTCGGTAAATTATGACACTTTTAATGCAAAGTTGACATTATTCAAAATGTCTTTGTTATGACAACTTGACATTAACCAAGAAATCATTACTGATATAAATTTGTTATAAAAGTATTACCGATTTCACTTTAAAAATTAGGTAACTTTATGTTATTAAAGGTAAAGTTTAAACAGTTAATGTCAAGTTGTCATAACAAAGACATTTTGAATACTGTCAACTTTGTATTAAAAGTGTCATAATTTACCAAATTACGCTTTATGACAACAGTCATAAATATTCATGAAGGCTTATTGATGTTCATGACAGGTGTTATGTCATGTTTATGAAAGTGTCATGTCAGTCTTATTCAACCCCCTTCAAATAAAGTGTTAACGGAATCTTTTATGTAAGTGCATTTTTATAAAATGTGGTAGAGCCACAAAATATTCATTTTACAGAGAAACAGTTTTTACCATCATAAAGAAAAATACATAAGAACTACAGTGGCTCAGTGTGCCCAGTACTCACCATGAAGCTCAGGTAAAATTTCTCTCCATGGTGAGCAAAGTGCCAGAAACATTCTGTGGCAGCTGCTGGGAGCACCACTGAGAAATCATACTGGTCAGCACCCCAGAACAGCTCCTGGTCTGTCCTGCTGGAATGAGGCTTTGTCTGGAGGCCACAGTGAGAAAATCCCCCAAACCACAAAACAATAAAAAACGTAGAGGTCCCTAACGACATGGCTGAAAGAATGGGAAACAACTAATCTAAATGAATGGTGGAGGCAGAGTGTGTGGTATACAAGACAAACTGTGAATGATTAACTGGACCAGAATGCTCCACCAGTGGGAATACTGGGCTGTCTGGGCAGATGGAGATAACTTGCCAAGATGTCATTTTTACAGTGACATCTTGGCACTGTAGATTTTTTTTTGGGAAAAAAATCTCAACAGAAAAGTTTTCTACTGGTTCAGATGAGTTTCTGCTCAAATTATCAGCCTGAGTCTGGCTCCATATATGCTGTTTTATTTTCAGCCACTTTTGCTGTTCATTACTTCACTGCTTAACAGAGGAGTAATGAAGGGTAATGCAAATATCAGTTGACCTTTTGTATCAGATGAAATCTTTTCACAGGGATGAGGAAACAGACACATACTCTGGTCTGAGGTCATACATCACTAAGTCACCATGTCATCCAGCAGGTTTATTACTCCAATGCTGCAGACCTATTCCCACCTGCTTCTTGGTCCAGTAATCACCATACCCCCTCATTGTATTTATGTTAGACTCGGTATGGGTTTTCCTGGTTCTGACGTCTTGTCATGTTGGGTTCTGTGTTTTCCCTTACATGGAGTCTGCAGTTTTGTAAGCCTGTTGTTTACTGTTTCAGTTCATTATGAATACAACTACTCTTGTCTGGACGTGGGTCCAACTTCTCAAAAATGACAACAGACAAACAGTCCTTTTTATTTTTATTTTTTTGTCAAAATGTTGTGTTATGTTTATTCCTGTTGTTAGCATTTCAGAACCTCTTTCATGTGGATGCCACAGCACAGCTGCCAGTCAATTACAGTGACTGGCTCTGACATGCTCCAACTAGAAATTCAGGTTCAACCTAGAGATAAACTTTGGTGTCTCTATAGCAGAAATATTTGTGGCATCTGGTTCTGAATATGTGCCAAACAGAAAAGACAGTAAAGAAATAACCTGAGAGTTTAGCCGGTTTGATTTCAATACGAGCCGTTGGACATGAACACAGGCAGCTTCTGACAGTCTACCAAAAGGTAAGTAATCGAGAACTTCTAAGAATTGAGAATGGCCCAATGGTGACAATATCTGGAGGGGTATTGAGACTATTTTGCATCAGACTATGTATGATCCTGTAAACGGATAGAAAAGAAAGAAGGAAGACCTTTTCCTCCTCTTTGCAACTCTTGGTCTTACTGGTTCTGTCTAATTATCTGCCTAATGTCATTCTTTTGCCTTGTAACTATATATTTTATTCTGCTATTTTCTAAAGCACAGCAACTTATTTTATTCCAATGATCTGGATTTTTTTAGGAGAAAACATTTTAATATTAAAATGAGGACTAAGTGTGGAGAATCATTTCTGAAAAAGTGCAGCTTTCTTCTGAATCATTTCGGGAGTGTGATGTCATGCATTTATGAATCGTGCTTGGCTTACAGTCTTATTGAAACAGGAAGGGGTTATATCCAGACTGTTTCCACAGAATTACCAGTTCCTTTCACAGAACAGGCTGAGCCCTGTTCCTGAAAGAGCAGGGCACGGCACGGTGCAGGTTATTGACAGCCTGCACCATGATTCATTCTGCACCAAACTTTACACTTGACACAAAGTGTTCAGGATGAACCTTGTTCACCAGGTAACTACTAAACCTAAATTAATGACTGCATTGTCAGACATGGAGGTATCAGAGAATATTCATTCAGGTTACTGTGGGCAACTGGGCCGTGCAGAGACCACTAAAGGGGCAGGTGCTCAAAAAAAAAAGGACACATCTAACCACATTTTAGGACAGAATATTAAAGTCACACAGCTTCCAGAGTTTAATAAACAATGATAAATTACAAATTGTGATATACAACTAGATTTAGTACATCTTAACATAACAGCTGCCTTGTAACATTAAATATATTGTTCACTACCAAAAACTGCATGTTGATCATGGTAAGAACCTTCATGTTTTTTTGTTCCTACCTGCAGTACTCGTTCTGACCCAGTTGGTCAACAATCCACTACCTTTGGCTGCTTCTGGCAGATCTTTTCTTTTTTGTTTCTGACGTCTTTCTTTACATGGCATCTTTGTTTTTTAAAAAGGTTTTGTTGGCTTTAGTGGCCTTTATTTGAAAGTAGTTTGACAGGAAAGAGAGCAATCAAATGTCACCAGGATGGGAATCAAGCCTGCGACCACCGCAATGAGGACTAGGGCCTCAATATGTGTGTCGTGCTATGCCCCTGTGCCACCACAGTACCCCTTTTTGAACTGAAAAAAAAAACAAAAAAACATAATGAATTATGATCAGAACACTATATTAAACCACACTACCAATTACAGGTCCTTCTCAAAAAATTAGCATATTGTGATAAAGTTAATTATTTTCCATAATGTAATGATAAAAATTAAACTGTCATATTTTAGATTCATTGCACACCAACTGAAATATTTCAGGTCTTTTATTGTTTTACTACTGATGATTTTGGCATACAGCTCATGAAAACCCAAAAGTCCTATCACAAAAAATTAGCATATCATGAAAAGGTTCTCTGAACGAGCAATTAATCATTAATCATTAATGATTCAGATGATTAATCAATTAATCATCTGAACCAACACCTGCAAAAGATTCCTGATGCTTTTAAAAACTCCCAGCCTGGTTCATTACTCAAAACCGCAGTCATGGGTAAGACTGCTGACCTGACTGCTGTCCAGAAGGTCGACACTGACACCCTCAAGCAAGAGGGTAAGACACAGAAAGAAATTTCTGAATGAATAGGCTGTTCCCAGAGTGCTGTATCAAGGCACCTTAGTGGGAAGTCTGTGGGAAGGAAAAAGTGTGGCAGAAAACGCTGCACCACGAGAAGAGGTGACCGGACCATGAGGAAGATTGTGGAGAAGGGCCGATTCCAGGCTTTGGGATACCTGCGGAAGCAGTGGACTCATTCTGGAGTAGAAATATCCAGAGCCACCATGCACAGGCGTGTGCAGGAAATGGGCTACAGGTGCCGCATTCCCCAGGTCAAGCCACTTTTGAACCAGAAACAGTGGCAGAAGTGCCTGACCTCAGCAGTCCACAGGCTGATTGCCTTCATGCAGTCATTTCTGCAAAAGGATTCCCGACCAAATATTGAGTGCATAACTGAACATTTGAAGGTTGACTTTTTTGGTATTAAAACAGTTTTCTTTTATTGGTCAGATGAAATATGCTAATTTTTTTAGATAGAAATTTTGGGTTTTCATGAGCTGTATGCCAAAATCATTAGTATTAAAACAATAAAAGACCTGAAATATTTCAGTTGGTGTGCAATGAATCTAAAATATATGACAGTTTAATTTTTATCATTACATTATAGAAAATAATGTAATCACAATATACTAATTTTTTGAGAAAAATTTTTTGCATATTGTTGTTTTACCCTTGTGTTGAAACCAATATGTTTTTCAGTCCATAGCATAACATAACAATATTACTTAAAGTCTGGATTGAGTTTTTTCCCCTTCATTAATGACACACTTTTATTGGACAGGAGGAGCTTCACTGATTGTTACATACATTATACTAGTATATCTATCATGGTAATTCAGAGTGAGTTATTTTTAATTCTAAATGAATATCCTTGTTGGACTTTTATTTAAGTGCTATTCTCTTTCAAGACACATTGACTTAACGCCAGAATAAATGCAATGTACATTATGCAGCAAAGGAAATTAGAAGACATTTATCCAAGATGATCGGTTTTGGACGGGCGATGTGCCCCTATTGCATAAGCGATACTGAAGAATGACTGATATCATTAACGATACAGGGAAGAAGCTTTTCAGTTATTTTGCTTTGCTAGCAAAGTCGTTAGCTAGCAGCTAGCTAATAGCACAACAACAACAGCCTACTGTCTGTGTGATAAAAATACTGAATCGATAGATAAGAACAGTTTTTCCTCACCTGGCTGTCGTCTCCTGCTCAGTAGTTCTTCAGAGAAAGGCAGACGCAGAGGTCTGTCAGTGTTTGTTGTATTTCATTACCTCTCTGCTTAAACCTCTACTCCGTGCTGTAGCAGAAACAATACTTCAATATTTTTTGTTATCTGACAAGTAGCAAGTCTACTCCACTTTATTCACCAAAAGCGTTTTTTCTTTTTTTTTTAATTCACCAAAAACTGTTCTGTAATCTGGAACGTTCGCTACGTTCAGCTCCGCAGTTAGCCGCCTTATCTCACTGTGCAAGAGGCAAATGCGTTGTGTGTCACGGGCAAAAGGTCAAAGGTAACAAGGTGACCAGC